TTTCGTTCGCGTCGAATTAATCATTTATAATGGCGATGATAAAGCAAAGCAAGAATTGCCATTAACATACAAACTGGATAAAATTTTCTCACATTTATGTCAGCATGAGAAAAAATAATATGGCGATATTATTATATAACTTGGTAATATTTGAGGGGTAGTTTCATCTCGTTGGAATTTGACTTTCGAAAAATTCGTTTGCCAAAAATAAACTTTTTACGTCAAGCAGTTTAAGCAGAATCAAGGTTAAGAAATTACCCAACTTTTTGGAACACCCTGTATGATTTTTTAAAAAAATTCAAAATATGTAAAAAAACCAAATAAATTATGCTTGTTATTATGCTTGGTTTTCCCGAAAGACTAACCGTTTTTTAAATAACAAATATTGTAACATTTGAGGAACGTTTTCACCCTCTTGGAATTTGAGATTCGAGAAACCTCTCCTTATCGAACCTCTACACCCCACAGTCAATCCGTTTGCCAAAAATCAGCTTTAAACGTCAAGCAGTTTAAGCAGAATCGTGATTACTCAATGGTTATATTTTATAAAACACCCTGTATAAATTTATAAAAAAATTTAAAATATGTAAAGCAACAAAATAAAATATACGTGTTTAAGAGTTTTTCCGAAAAACTCACCGGTTTTTAAATAAAACATATTTTAATATTTGAGGGATAGTTTCACCCCCTTAGAATTCGTGTTTCGAAAAATCCCTTCTTATTGAGCCTCTACACCCTAAAGTCAATCTATTTTCCAACAATCAGCTTTTTACATCAAGCGCTTTAAGCAGGATCGTGATTAATCAATGACCAGATTTTTTGAAACGCCCTGTATACATTTTTAAAAATCTTAAAACATGTAAAACAAACAAAATAAAATGTACGTGTTTAAGCGTTTTTTCGGAAACTTGACCGTTTTTTAAATAAAAAATATTGTAATAATTGAGGGATGGTTTCACCCTCTTGGAACTGGAATTTCGAAAAATCCCTTCTTATCGAACCTCTACACCCTAGAATCAACCTGTATGCCAAAATTGAGCTTCTTCCGTTGAGTGGTTTGGGCAGGATCGTGATTAATCAGTATGTCAGTCACTTAAGGATTTTATATATTAGTATAGATTTATTTTTCTTTCCTAAAATATTTTTATTAAAACAAAATAAGTGGGCAACGCTGTACCGGTCAAGCTTAATCACGTGACTAAAGGTGTATTTGAGATGAACTATAGATAATATATTCATTACATAAAAATAGCTGTGAGAAATTAAAAAATATTTAAAGAAAAAGTAATTTTCTGTATAATTGAAAACGTTTAGAACTTGCTCAGTGCTCTAGAAACAATTTCAGAAAGAGTTCATACACGATAACTGTAAAAGTTTAAATTGCATTTTGAAATAGAGCTACAGAAAATAGTTATGTCCTATCTTGATTTCTCTTTTATAGTTGCGAGTGTTATTACATCTATATGCCCTATATGTTCTTGTTTCGTATATGATATAAAAATTGCTTATTTTTATTTCTCATTTTTATACATTTGCAAATTTAAACGTGTAATATTTCGAAAATATTTTTTTACCAGACAGATGTGTGATGAGCCGCCAACTTTTCAAAATATTTATGAAAAGCAGATTTTACTTTGTTATTTTTAAAACACTTTTTCTCAAATCCTTGCGAAATACTTAAATTTTAAAAAATAAAAAGCTTCCAAAATTAAACACATTTTTTTACTGATATGTGTATACAGGGTCGCTGTTATGTATGGAAACGGTCGAATATTAGGTAAAATATAGGAGGTACCGCAAAAAGTTAAATACAAAAGTTATAGGGTTTATAAATATATATTAGCGTGTAATAAATTTAAGTAAACAGGGTCGGTCATAAAGTCGTGGCATATCAAAGTTTCATTTTTTTAAATAAAACCCCCTATATATTATTGCATAGTTCGGTTCATCCTTCAATTCTAAGCAAAAATCGAAATACACACAATGTACCTCAAACTGACCGTTTCCGAGTTATTGCCTTTTGAAAATATCACTTATACAATTTGATTTAATTAATTTCGATATGTTCAATTTCATTTAACGATGCCATTCTACCGAAACGGTGGCACTTGATAACATTTATCATTAATTCTCAAGTTAGCGTTGATAGATGTATAAAATGAAAGTATATCAAGTCTGGATATTACAAAATTTTCGTTTAACATTTTAGTTCTTCAATTTATGTACATTTTGTATTACGATTATTGCTTAAAATTGAAGGAAGAATTGAAATAAGCAATAATATACAGGGGTTTTGATTTAAAAATATAAAGTTTGATGTAACACAACTTTATGACCGACTCAAAACTTAAATTTATTACTCGTTAATAGATATTTAAAAATCCTGTAACTTTTGTATTTAAAGTTTTGCGGTACCTCCTATATTTTACCTAATAATCGACCGTTTCCATAAATTAAAGCGGCCCTGTATTAGTGATGGACAAAACTGTTATTTTTAGATAATACTTGAAACTGTTATAGTTATTTATAAAAAACAGCTTAAAATAACAGCTTAAAAATAACAGGTTTCTTTATTTTATTGCTAAATATCTGAAAGAGTATGAAGCGGTCACCGCCAGACGTATTAACGCAGTTGCAAGTTGCAACAATGACATGCTCGGTGGTAGTATTTCCAGGGTGTCAAAACATTTCTAAATATCGATTGTTATCTAAAATACCTCTCTAAAAACGGGCGTTGTTTACAAATAAGCGCTGTTTACAAATTGCGATATAAAAAAGCCAAAATTCCGCCACTCGTCTATACGTATACGTTCCGATCTACCTACGCCTTGCCCCTCGATCGGCGTAATTCCTGAATTGCGTAGCAGTGTACAGGGTGCATCTCACTCGACGGGCGAGAAGCTCTTAGTTATAATTTTACCATTTGCGGTCAAAAAATAGCAATATAAGAAAATGTGTAGTATATTCTTCATAAGTAAACCAACAACACACTAGAGTTCGAATTAATTTTACACTTAAAATAGCGTGTACCCGCGACTTCGTTCGCGTCGAATTAATAATTTGTAATGGTGATGATAAAGCAAAGCAAGAATTTCTATTAACATACAAACCGGATCAAATTTTCTCACATTTGCCAAAAATAAGCTTTAAACGTCGAGCAGTTTAAGCAGAATCGTGGTTAATCAATTACTCAACTTTTTGGAACACCCTGTATTATTTTTTAAAAAATTTAAAAATATGTAAAAAAACAAAATAAATTATGCGTGTCCAAGCGTTTTCCCGAAAGACTAACCGTTTTTTAAATAACAAATATTGTAATATTTGAGGGGCGTTTTCACCCCCTTGGAATTTAAGATTCGAGAAACCCCTCCTTATCGAACCTCAACCCCACAGTCAATCCGTTTGCCAAAAATCAGCTTTAAACGTCAAGCAGTTTAAGCAGAATCGTGATTACTCAATGGTCACATTTTATGAAACACCCTGTATATATTTTTAAAAAATCTTAAAATATGTAAAACAACGGAATAAAATATACGTGTTTAAGAGTTTTTCCGAAAAACTCACCGGTTTTTAAATAAAAAATATTCTAATATTTGAGGGTGGTTTCACCCCCTTAGAATTCGAGTTTCGAAAAATCCCTTCTTATCGAACCTCTACACCCTAAAGTCAATCCGTTTTCCAAAAATCATCTTTTTACGTCAAGGGCTTTAAGCAGGATCGTGATTAATCAATGACCAGATTTTTTAAAACACCCTGTATGTATTTTTAAAAAATCTTAAAATATGTAAAACAACGAAATAAAATATACGTGTTTAAGAGTTTTTCCGAAAAACTCACCGGTTTTTAAATAAAAAATATTCTAATATTTGAGGGTGGTTTCACCCTCTTAGAATTCGAGTTTCGAAAAATCATTTCTTATCGAACCTCTACACCCTAAAGTCAATCCGTTTTCCAAAAATCAGCTTTTTACGTCAAGGGCTTTAAGCAGGATCGTGATTAATCAATGACCAGATTTTTCAAAACACCCTGTATACATTTTTAAAAAATCTTAAAATATTATTCTGAAAATTTTTCGGAATAAATAAATACCTAAATATTGAAACTTAATAACGTACTGAAACATACAGCGCCATAATATCTCGACCTTCGCCCGTTATGCTCGTAACAGGTTGAAAAACAATATATCTAAAACAACTGATGCGTTATTCTCCAACCTGTTTCGAACTCCCATCGACAATCGACCGATGCAGCAGCGTTACTTTCCCACTCCGATTATCTCGACCGTCACCCTGTTATGCTCGTAACAGGTTGAAAAACAACGTATCTAAAATGACTGCTTCTCCAACCCGTTGCGAGCCTCCATCGACAATCGACCGATTCAGCAGCCTTCCTTTCCCACTCCTGTTATCTCGACCGCCAGGCGTTATGCCCGCAACTGTTTCAAAAAACCTGCTTCTTTTATATCCTATTATTTTTAAGCTGTTGTAAGCCCAATACGACCGTCAACGGGATCGACCGAAGCAGCTACGTTCGCCGTAGCGCATTCCCCACTCCGTTGTCCGTTGTCCGTTGTCTCGCCGCCTGTATCGATGGTTGACGAAATAACATGTTTTCCATCCATACTAGTTGTTTTTTGGAATTGCTTCGAGAAGCATAGAATTTCGGGGCGGCGCAGGGCGCCGACTTCGTTTTTCGTTTCACGAGCGGCCGATCTCTACGTGTCGTTATTTTATATCTGTTATTTTTTAGAAGTAGTAACGGTTGCGTTATGTTATTTCTAAATAATTGTTATAAAATAACAGATAGTTAAATAACAACCCATCACTACACTGTATACATACAGCAGTATGTCCGCATTTAAAGTTTAATAAGATTTTATTCCAAATGAGTTTGTTGTTTCAAAATATTAGTTAATGAAGTTGACCATAGAAATGAAGTAATATAATAGACATGTTATAGCCGACTTTGTATAAAAAAAATAATTTTTTATTTATTTTTAGGGGCCAATCCAACGTTGAGGGACAACGGCCGTGGGTTCAGAGCTGACCAATGGGCGAGGTTCTGCGGACGGTACGTGTGTGCCGACGTCATAGAGAAGCACGCCAGGCAGAGGCTGTTGGAGAGGTCCACGTCTTACGGCCATTGGGGGATAGAGCACGAGATGGGCGCCAGGGTGGTTATGGGTAAAGTGGTACCGATACCGCCTGTACCTCAGCCTCAATCCAATGGTACGATTTTGTTTTTTATACTTACATTTAATTTTCGTTTCCTAATATCACATCGTATATTCATTCGTAGGTTATTTACATATAAGCAAAGAAAAAGTTTTCTGGAAAATTGATAGCTTTGACAGGATGATTTTGTAGTTCCTCATCTCCATTGACTTTTTCATAATATAATTTATACTATAATATTGCCAGTTTTCCTGTTTTTGCTTCTCAGCTTTTTCATAAGTTGCAGCTTAGTGTTTACTGCCTCTGTCTCAACGAATTTTTTCATTATTCTAGAGACTTAACTAAACCACTGATTTCCGGTAATTTTGGTACTAGCTTTTACAGTACCGCAGATGGGTTCAGGCCCTATAACTAGTACCCACACTTTTCAGCTAAGTCTAGAATTAACCAGTATATAATCAAGGCTGCTGTGAAGTAGAGGTGTGTAGTTCGTGAACGAACTAGTTCCAATGAACTATTCCGACCCTGGAATGAAAGGAACTAGTTCCTGGTTTCTCAAAGGACTAGTTCCTCAGGACCTATTCCGGGATCGAGACTGTGTCCTATATAGAATAACATGCGACGGCGACGGATCGGCTAACGCGCCTAGCCCGATGATAGGCAGGAGTGGGGAGTGCCAGACGTACGTTATCGGATCCGGACCTAGAGGAGCTAAACTAAATAAAAGACTAGTTTACGTACGAACGGATCGGGCCAGCGCAGCGCGATCGATGCTAAGCAGGCGTAGGGAGTGCCAGCCTTATGCCGTATGTTATCGGATCCGGACCTAAAGGAACTAGAGGAACTAAATAAAAGACTAGTTTACTTATGGATCAGCCAGCGCAATTGATGCTAGGCAGGCGTGGGGAGTGCGAGCCGTATGTTATCGGATCCGGACATAGAGGAACTATTAAAAGACTAGTTCACGGGAATCTATTCAGTCGGCAGATCCGAGATATAATTCAAGGCGACGACGACGGATTCGGCCTTGTCTATTGCCGCAGCCGGCGCGGCGTAATTACCACAGAAAATTGTCGTGAATACTGTTTTTGATTTTTAGTTTGTTTTTTAAATATTTTATGGGAATGTTTCACTTTAGGTCCCTAAAATTAAGAAATATCTTATAAAACGAAGTAGATATTCTGAATTTGTAGACAAAAACAAAAAGCTTGAAGTAAGGAAAAATGCAATTTTTCGTAAAATTTTTATAATATTTGCTCCAACTGATTTGTGATATAGTTTTTTAAATTCTGATTTGAGTTTTTTTTTTAATTTTTTTATCAGCTATAAAACTTACCTATATGTTTTTAACATACACAATTACACGTCTCGTTATATCTCCGTACATTATAAAAATTATACAGATCATACTGTGAATAGTTCTGACTGACAACGAAACGCATTAGCAAGCAAGGGGGATGTCAATGTTAGTCGGGAACTCTTGTGAACTAAAGACCTAGTTCAAAGAACTATTCCTCTGGAGGAACTAGAACTAAGGAACTAGTTCCTCCCAAGGAACTAGAATTCCCACCTCTACTGTGAAGATGACAACTGAAAAATATGTTCTTTTCTGCTCTACTATTTCTTCCATACAATAATTTATTGTCGTTATTTCCGCCTGAAAATCATGGCACTCTTGGAAGTCTTACAGCACGGTTCCTACTACAGGCAGTTCCTCACGAGAAAATATGATTTAATTTTCATATCAACCTTTGAATAAGAAGACTAAGGAAGGAGCATATCAAAAATCTTAGGTCCACCGCGATGGGCCTCAAATATGGCGGACTTAAATTCCGGTTTATCAGTGCAGTTCTAATTTTATTTAAAAAATGTGAAACTATGATGTAGAGTAGACGTGGGGTAGACTCAATAATATGTTGTTTTATTTGACGTTGTGAATAAACGTTGGTAGTTATTAAAATTGTTACAAAAATATATAATTCTAATAAAAATAGATAAGTTATAATAATTATTTATTAACACAAACATCCGATACGCTACTGAAGCAGCTAAATCTGGTAAATCAAATTGACGTATCTAAATTCTTTGACATCTAATCTTTGACAAGTAGTAAATAAAAGCAAAAATGCAAGAAAAAATATATAATTAGTTAATTTAAGTGAATTTCATAAATGATCGGTTTACTACACGTACGTATATTATATAGTCACTTACTAGCGAAAAGTTGTTCCATTATTTCACTCGATTTTTGCCGAGATCTACCGCACGCTACACAACCAACTATTTTAGAGTCTTTTTCGATAAATCGCGATAGTGTCACTGTTAATTTAAGTTCTGCCACAACTTCCATCTAGATTTACTACCTTTATACAACTCTCAGTAGTAGAATAAATAATAAATAACATAAAATAAGCTCCGTAAAGACTGACAAATCCATAAAATTTCAAATCAAATTCAAATGTGTCAAATGAATCGTCAAACAGGACTGTCAAGGATCCCCACCCTAGAGTGCTTTTTCCGCCCACCATGCATGAATACATGGATAGCATTATGCTCCTTCCTTAGTCTTCTTATTCAAAGATATCAACATAGGTGCGATTCTGCTTTGTTTCGTAGCTACAGGGTGTTAAAGTCTTAATAATCTTTCGATTTATTATAATTTTTTTCGAAGTACTTTTAGCGTTTCGAATAAAATTGTGGGGGTAAAAGTTACTATAAACGCCACATTTTTTTAATGCTAAAAAGATGTCGATAACTTCATTAGGGATGTGCATAAGAGTTATCACTGGGATATTTTTCCAAAAAAAACATGTTTTTTATTGTTTGATATCAAAATTGTGTAAGTCAAAAAATTTAAAAAAATGCCAATTAAAAGTTATCTCTTAATATTTTGTCGAATTCGGGCTCCTTGATGAGATAAACGCACTTTTATTAATCACAATTAATAAAATTAAAATTAAAATAAAATTAATAAATTATATATTTTACCTAATTTATTACTAAATATTATTACCATTAGTTATTATTACTATTAGTCTAACCTATAGCAATTTCAAATAAAAAAATAATGGTATTTAAGATAATTAGAAAAAAACTAATTTTAAAATGTTTTAACATCCTGTAGCTCTAAAACTATGCATTTCCATGCCCATGTTTATATGAACATTTTTAATTCGAATCGGACCTATGTTGATATGAAAAATAAATATTTTTTTACGTGAGGAACCTCCCCACAAGATATGGCACTTGATCTCCCCACAAGATATTTTTTGAAACACCCTGTAGATAAGAAAGAAATGGCTAGAGTTTAGGGAGGCTTTTGTTCAGCAGTGAACGCAATAAGCTAAATGATGATGATGATGATATTAATTATCTCCAACCGTATCCCGTTGCTTTTTATACTAACTGCTAATTGAGAGAATTATCCAAATTAAATATTTTGGACACTATATCACAGAAAGAACTATACCCAAATAAATAGATTACCTTTCGAATTGAAACAGCCTGCAAATCTCTTTTAAGAATGAAATTATTTGTGAGTAATAAATGTATGTCAGTAATAGAATTGATTGCTTGAAAGAATGATTTTGTAGTTCCTCATCTTATTGACTTTTTCGTATAATTTCTGGTTTCTGTAAAATTTATAAATTAAAAAAATGCATTAACAGCTTCCAACGAACACCAGCCACTATTAAGGAATGGTTTTAATAAGAACAAAAACACTTATATAGCTAGTTATTTTCAACAAAATATAATTCTAAAAAATGGTAATTACTGCACTAACGTAATAAGTGTACTTCAGCTTAGAGAATAATGATGCGAAAATAATAATATAATCCCATTAGGAAGATAAAATATCATTTTCGAACAGCTGCTACCAAAAATTACGAACGGTAGTAATAAAGTAAATCTGATAAAATTGTTAACTCAAGTATCGATCCAAACACCATAATGAATGAATTAATAATAACGTGCGTGGAATAACAGCTCAATAATACAAAAAATGCTGAGTCGTTCTTATCCAAATTAATAAAGGGTTTTATCTGGGTTTTTTTATTAGATTTTATATTTCACAAAGCTTTCTATTAATAATAGATACAATATAAGTACATACTTAAATTTCTTGTTTAGCTACAACCACAGTCGTAGCTAATTTAAAATCCAGCAAAAATGACTGAAACATATATATTTTTAAGTATTGGCGTGTCACTTATATGCACCGTTTATGTGTATTTAGACTAAAAGAAGAATATCTATTATTATTATGCTCCGCTTCTTCTTCTTCTTTCTCAACCTGGTTCCCTCCAATGTTGGATATAGGCCTCTTCTAGGTTTTTCCATGCTTTGCGATCTCTAGCCAATCTTATCCATTTTCTTCCTGCCACTGTTCTGACGTCATCGGCCCATCTCTTTTTTGGTCGGTCCACACTTCTTTTTGTTTTCCTAGGTCTCCATAGAATGACTTTTGGGGCCATCGGTCTGGATCCTGTCTTGCCACATGTCCGATCCATTGCCACTTCAGACTTGTCAATTTATTACAACATCTATTAGTTTTGTTTTTTGCAGCTATTTTACTCATAAAACAAATTTGCCTAATGAGCCTAAAATGCTTAAAGTTTCGGGGGGTATAATTCTACCCATCAACAGAAGCAAAATAAAAAACTATTTGAAATGTCTAAATATAGCTAGTTAAATATAGCAGTGCTGGAATAGCCGTCCATCGGGCTACCTAAAAGTAGTTAAAATTCTATGATGTATGTGTATATATGTTGTCTGTGTGTGCACGTTTTATTGACTTTTAAAAATTAGGATAAGTTTTAACAAAAAGTAATTTCATCACATTCGCGTGGCATTCACATGGTAAATGCGATAAATTTTACATTGGTGAAACATCTAGACCCTTAAATGTTCGAATTAAAGAACATAAAGATTATTTAAGAAAGGGAGATTTTCACAAATCTAAGATTTGTCAGCATTCATGGGACACAGGGCACAGAATAAAATTTAATAACGCCAAAATTATAATGAGAGAAGCGATAGCATCTAAAATAAAAATTAAAGAGGCTTTTTTAATACAATCTAATAAAAATAACTGTATTGCTCATGCATCTGTAAATGTTAGTATAGTAAACGCTACGAATGTTTGGGAGTGATTCATCCGTCGCTACCATGTGAACTAATCTGTTCAAGGTCACATAAAACTAAATTCCAGTGCCGTGGTGTTTCAAGTCATATAATAATCAATATATAATCTGTTGTAATTTGTTGTTTTAACTGTCAAAGTCTTGTCAAAACATATATTTGGTTATAAATATAAAATGGAATGCCCCATTGGTCGCACTGCAAGCACACCAATGGACTGACGCAAAAAAACGAATCAATCAAAGAAACGCGATATAGTATCGTAATTGTCAATCACGCTAACATTTTAGAATAAGTAGGAGGAGCGCAGGCAAATGATTAGACCGGGTCTTTAAAAACCTACGTCTGCGGTAAAAATTTACGTTTTTAATGTAAAAACGAGAGCGCGCGTATCGATTCTAACTTCATCAAGCGAAGAATCACTGCCAAACATTCGTGGCGTTTACTATAATGTATGGCAATCGCTTTTTTGATTTTAAAGAACATAACATAAATAAACATAACATACGTAAAAAATAAAAATAATCATACAGAAAGTTTGGGGCTTTTTGGTTTTACATTATTAAGTAATTGTTATCAGGTAGTAATTGTGTTAATTTTGAAGTTTAACTTGGATATAATGTCATTTTAACAAAACGTCAACGGTTTTTGTAGACGTGTCTGTTTTAAAAAACTAAAGTGTTCTCGAATAGTTGAATTTAAATATTTTAAATAGTTTTTTTTTGCTTCCGACGACGGAAAGAGATAAACTTTCCGAAACGTTAAGCATTTTTATTCGTTAGGCAAATTTGTATATCTTTAAACCTAACTTCTGATAAGTAGTTTCCGTTTGGGATTAACGCAGAAGTGTTTACAAAAAATAAGTACTTTATTTTGTAGATTTTCTTGCAGTGGCGAAATACCCATATAGGTTTTTTTGGAAGCATATTAAATCTCAAGTGAGAACCCGAATCACTGTTATTCATTTAGAAAACTGTTTACGCGTGGTAACAACCTCAGTCGAAATTAATATTGAAGCAATTAGTTCTGCCACACAAAATCAGACTTCCTTCTAAACTGAAATTATTTAAATTATATAGTTATTAGATAAATATGTTTGGCTTTTATTTATAAGTTTCTCTAGAATAAAATTAGCAACACTATAATACACACGCTATGTTTGTTTCAATTAATAAAAAAAGTTTTGTGGTCCGGCAGCAAATATTACCTGCTTCTGATATGTGGCTCTACTGCTGAAAAAGTTGGCCACCCATGATCTAAATTAACATAGGTACCATGATTTAATATATTTTCTTTACTTTCCAGGCCTAAAATCCAAACTGAAGAAAGTTTTTCGCACGTCTTCCGGCCCATCGTCCGACACTTTTTCCAGCGCCCGCCTCGTCACGCAGCTCACCTCGGCCGCTCTCTGCGCCAGCAGCCCCGTTCTTCCCAGCAGCGGTTCGGTGCCGCCCGTCATCAAGTCCCTCATCCGCCCCCTGACGGTACCCCGCCTCCAGATCACCCTCGTTAACAACAACGGCGACTACCCCAACTGCAACCTGGAAAACGCGGAAAATCCCGACTCGCAACCCACCACCAAGTCCAACCCCGACGATAAAATCGCGGGCTCGAACAACAAGGAGAACGCGGCCCAACCGGGCAACGGAGTCGTGGTCAACGGGAAAAATGAAGCGATCAAACCGTGCCGCAGCAAAAAGAAGAAATAGCATGAGTGCTACCTGTGTAGATGCTACTAATTATACTGGTCTGCATAATGATTTTTTTTCTCGAGATCTGGCACCATTCATGTTGATTCTTATGTAAAATGACGTCCTGAATCCATGCATTTAATTTGGAGGATGAAAGGAATTATTTCAGCTGTAAATAATATAGTTGATTGAAAGAATTGGGAAGATCCGCAACCTAATGGGCGAATTCGTGACAAGGCTTATTTGATTTCCCCTTACGTCTCAAGTTTTGTACGGTGGAGACACCAATCGTTCTGCGGCCAACGCATAAAACACTTATTTTCTCTAATTCGACCAGCGAAGGCATATCGAAGACGGTGTGGAACTGAAAGCGACAGTGTTGCCATATTAAGATGTGTAATATCTGTAATAAGTTTGACGAAAATATTTTGCGATGAAAAATCCGCGTTTATGTATTGAAAATTTATTCGTGTCAAACATAGAATAAACAATAAAAATAATAATTCTTTTATACGTACTGAATATGTCGTATGATCGAAAAAAAAAGTCGTTTAGTTGGCTTTTAAATGACGATTATTGACATTTACCATAATATTTTACTTATGAAATAACAGCGATCTATATTTCCAAAGTAACTCTGACGTCGTTTTTTGTTTAATCATTTAATATTATATTAAATTGTTTAAGGATAGAAAATCCGTATTATTAACGTACTATACCCAAAATCCATCAATCTAAGGATTAATCGGTAGTTCTGGCAACTACTGACTCTGTCGACTGAAAACAGAACTACGGTACAGTATTCTTTGTAGAATGTAGAATGTTTAGGAGGGGAGTTAATCACCGCGACCTTATAGATCTATTGTGTGTTCCCCTTTCTTGAGTTTTAACGAGTTATAACTCATCATACAGTCTCAGGGCTTTAAGAAAAGCCAGTATCTGAGACGGCTCCACAGAGGCCAGATCTCCATCCTCGACATCAGACGTACCAAGGTTCATGGCACGAATGGTCGTCGTCTCGGCGCACACAGTGATAAGGTGTTCTGGTGTTTCCCCATTTTCCCCACAAAATCTGCATTCGCCGTTGTTTCTCAGTTTCAGTTTACTGAGGTGTTCGTTGAGGAGACAGTGTCCTGTTAGAAACCCCGTGACAATCCGAAGATTGTTTTTACTTAAATCAAGGAAAACCTTTGATTTTTCTCGGTCATAAGTTCTAAGGAACTTTTTCCAGTGTCTTAGACCGTTGGAGGACACCCATTCCAAGTTACGGATGGAGTCTTCCAGATTCTTCAGTTCCGCTTTCAGTTGGTTCCCGTTTGGAATACAGTATTCTTTACATATACATATAACTAAAATATACTCAGGGTTCCCTATTTAACCCCGTGTGCAGTTTCTGTGCCGTAAGAGAAAGACAACATAACCCAGCTCCGTATTAATACTGCATAAAGGTGTACGCGCACTTAATCGGTACGAGTCTAAGGTCCCAGTCCGGCGAGAAACGGCGAAGGCGGTGACTCGACTATCTTAGATAGGTAGAGGTAGGAATCTGGCCTCTACAGGCCGAAATGTTTTAGTAGACGCCGCGCCGGCGCCGTCTATATGTACGATGGTCGCAGTCGCTTTTGCTGGTCGGTCCGATCCGATGCAGTGCACGTCCTCCTTAAGTCTATTTTGCCCGGATATCAATTGAACTGCGATTGCGCCCAACTCCGATTAATTGTTGTTTTAGTTCTGTTTGGATTATTTTTTATTTGTAAAATAAAAAATAATCCAAACGCGTAAAAGAGTGATTTTGTTTAGTTTATTGTTTCCAACTATTTATTGATATTTTTCTAACTCAATGATAGTGTGTTATAAATAATAAAAATATAAACAAACTGTCAGTCAACCACTTTTTTTTTAAAACACCGACCAATGAAAACCTCTTCAGGTAAGGCATGCGCAGTTAAATGAATATCCGGGTGAAATAGACTTATGCAGAACTCCATATTTCTCTTTCACTGTTTGGGCTTCACTTTTTGAAGGTTAGGCTGAGTATATTTTAGTTATATGTATATGATTCTTTATCCGCTGTGCTGTAAACGACTATCAGCGCGTAGCGGCGCAAAGTTAAACTAGCTAAACTAAATTTCGGACAGACTGACGTTAACGCCAGCTACATCTCGGACAGGTTTTGTGCCACGAAATTGCCCATAAGGTTAGGCATCTTCTTATTTCTCCAATCAACAATACTACTGAATAAAAAGATATCTACTATTATCTGGTGCATCTTGTCATTTATACCTCAAGGTACAACTCTCTTGTCCCCAAAAACCAGCAGTATTCAACATTAATTCATAAACTCAGTTTTTATTATTAATTTTAGTATTTAACTTATTATACAGGATTAATCGAAGGGTTGTTTTTTACCCTAACTTTAAAACACTCTGTGCAATAATTTTGTGAGCGAATTTTCCTAAAACATTATTATTTTTTTCCAGAACCATATCTAATGAACATTTTGTTTTTTGGATCATGTCAATACGTATTTTGAGTAATTTTTGAGAGCGAAATGAACTTGCCACCAACAATTTGTAATTTTTTCAATTATTATTTCTTTTTGAAGTTATTTTTCAATATGACGAGGTGGCTATGGTGATTATTGTAGACTATATACTGCTATGAACTGTCCAGCATGTTCGACAGATCTGAACCCTATAGAACATGTTTGGGAAATGCTTGGTACGAAGGTTTAGAGGTCGCAAAGCGGCGCCAACTTTATTAAATAAACTTCGTTTGGTCCTTAAAGAAGAATGGGAAGTTATAGTAGGAAGGCAGGGGAGGCAACACCGAGTTTTTTTGCGTTTTTTAAGTTTTTTTTTCTGTTTTTATACTTGTGTGTTTGCGATTATACTGATGTTTTCTTTAATTTCTTTAGTTCTGTTATCGTTATTAGAGTTTATTAAAACTACTAAAACCTGGACTGTGTTGTTACTATGACTTTACGACAATAGTAACCAAAGGCACCTCATCATATTAAAAAATAACATTAAAAAGTATTGATAAATGAAAAAAATGCAAATTGTTGGTAGCAAGGCCTGTATTGACATGATTCAAAAAACAAGATGCTCAGGAGACGTGGTTCTAACCAGAAAATAATGTTTTAGGAAAATTGGCTGACGAAATGATTGCACTGGGTGTTTTAAAGTTAGAGTAAAAAAATCATTCGATAAACCCTGTATTATAAAGCACAATACTAAAGTTTATTACCTCCTACGGATGAAAGCTGAAATATGTCAAATATAAGTAAAAAAACTGCAATAGAAAAACCGACAAAAATGTATCACGTTTACTGATTTGATTAAAATTTCAACGCTACTACACTCAAAAAAAGTCCACCGAATTTCTACAAAAATTAATGTTTTCAGAACACTTATACCTCTAGAAATAACAATGTAGGGACCAAAATAATCCTTTTCATTTCAGTAAACTATCGAAAAGAGGAGGGTCCCCCCAAAAACGGAGGGTAATGGGGGGGGGGGGGGTCGCATTTGGGGATTTAGTAGTTTATTTTACATAAGAATCGGCAAGAATGGTGTCAGAGATGATTCTTATGCAAACCAGTGTTATTTATTTATTTATTTGTATAATTTTATTTGTCTAGAGTCTAGAAATTTTTCTATAAATAGGGAATATTTTGAAAGGTTAGATTTTAGGGTACTGTGCCCTTTTCAGATGAGACTGCATTTAGTATTAGTTAACTTTTTAAATGTTTACGGTTTGTTAGACGTTACGAAATTGAGACAATTTGGAGTAGATGTGTAGATGGAGGAGGAGGGGTTAATTATTTTTGTACTTTGACCAATTTAAAGATTTGCTTAAAAAGATTCTACAATACTTCAGTATGGTTATTAAAATATTGGTATTTTTAAAAGAGTTTCGCTGCTAAAAAATGGATGTACCATCCCAATCCAATGCTTCAGATTTTATTATTCTATTTTTGTGTAAAAGATAGAATTTTAGCATGAGCAGTTGTGTTTTGTCATATAGTTTTATTATAAAAAAACAAAGATTTTGTTCAAAAATATGTACAGGGTGAGTCAACGATTGAGTAAGTCCTGAAGTCCATTATTTCATTTATTTCAGTTTCAAGGTTTACAAAAAAAATGTTAGAAAAGGTTAAGATACACATTTTAAAATGATTACAGAGTATACAGGGTGCTTCAAAAAAGTGAGGCAAATATAACACATGTTTTTTTTTAAATACAACACCCCATTTTTATCCTATTTTTAAATTCTGCATAAAATTCTGTAATTTTTTATATACAGGGTGTCAGAAATACGACCAAATATAGATATACAGGGTGTCCCAGATATAAGTGTAAGTATTTTAAGGGGTGGTAGATCTCGATAAAAGGAACATATTTTCTCTTTATCGTTTTTCAAATAAGTCCAAAATAACGGAGTTATTTTACTTTGAAAATTTCCAAAAAACATGATTTTTTGCTAAAATTTTGAGAACCGCTGGATCTTTTCTGGATTTTCTTTCTTGTAAATTTAATCAAATACTTTGCCATATTATCAAGAAATTATGTTTTTTAACTACAAACTAAAAAAAAATCCAAAAAATTTCGAATTTTCAAACATTTTTTTTCGCGAAAAAAACCTTATAGGCGTGTTTCTGAGGTTGAACTATACTACCAATTAAAATACTTGCACTTATTTCTGGGACACCCTGTATAATATTATATACCTAAATTTCTTTCTTGTAAATTTAGTCTAATACCTATGTTGCCATATTATCAAGAAATTATGTTTTTTAACTACACACTAAAAAAAATTCCAAAAAATTTCGAATTTTCAAACATTTTTTTTCGCTAAAAAAACCTCATAGGCGTGTTTCTGAGGTTGAACTATACTACCAATTAAAATACCTGCAGTTATTTCTGGGACACCCTGTATAATATTATATACCTAAAATTGATAGTTTTTGATGTAAAACATTGTCAGTGATGCCATTGTTTCTGAAGTTAGACAACTAAAATTTGGTAGGAGAATTTTATAAAGATATAGAAAAAGACGTATGTAAAGATATTTTAGTTAGATGCTACAGGGTGTTCAAAATATATTTATGAATTTCAGCTACTTAAAATATAAAAATGTCAATTTTTTAAATGGCACATCCTATATATTATCATTTTTACTGATAGATTTTACAAAATTTTTCAACTTTTATAAGGTATACCATATACCTATTTTTAATAGTTTGGGAC